GGTGGGATGGGGACCTTCCACATGATGTGGAGGACCTGTGCAATGCCCTTTAGAAACCTTGGGATGTGAGCTGTGTAAAATGTAAGGGGCACGGGGTGGGGAGAAAGGAAAGTGGGATGCCTCATTGGAAAAAATCACCTGATGCCAGAAGGAGAATGAGGACAAAAGAGGGCAACAGAAGGATGACTCAGAACTGCATAGAAGGAAGTCCAGGCAAAGCAACAGCAGAAGAAGAGAAAGAACAACCTTACGCCATTTAGAAGTGGCATAACTGGGCAGCAGCAAGAGTCAAAAAATGGTGAAAGTGAGTGCCAGGCTCCCATAACAGCAACACTCCATTTGTAACTACCTGTGGCTTAGAAGTAGAACTATATGAACCAAATCAAAGAACCATATTTGTTATTAATTAATGCTGCTACTTACTGAAAATTCTAAAGATAAAAGATATTGTTATATATTTGTTTGCCTCTTGAGCAAATAAAAAGCTGAGGTACTGTGGCCATAGCATTAAAAAGCATTTGCACACAGAAGCTGCTTCAGCTTATCTCCCCATAGCTGGTGTAAAGAGTGGGCCAATTTTAGGGAAAAACTCATGGCTTAAACGTTTAATTCCTATCAGCTCATTGATAATTCAATGCCTGACATCAGTACGAAGAAACCCATTATCAGTGGTCTTATTCAGACTTGCTACCTAAGCCAAGTTGTGCAATCCTGACCTAAAATACGCAGGGAGGTTAAGCTGTTAGAATTAAAACATTTCAATCCCAGCTGCTTGTTTTGGGGGCAAGCAGTATGCATATGAAAGTTTGCAAATCACATGGGAGACAATGCCAGGTAAAGTAGGTAAAGATCTATGAAGTCAACAGGACTACTCCTGAGTGAGTTTGCATGGGTAAACCTTTTTATAATTTGGGGTATTTATTGAGCATGTTTCTCAAAGTATCTTTGCTGCAGATCCCATCACGAGGCATGGGCAAATCAGTGGAGCTTAATATAGTTCAGGTTCTCTGATTTTCACCTTAAAGTTTTCTCATTTTCATTCCCAGTTGTGGGTTTTGTTGTGGTAGCTGTTGTCTAAATGGAAAAAGTATACATCTAGATATACATTTTTAAAATGCCACTCTCTCAGTGACTGAAGTGTGAAAATGTGAATTTCACCCAAATGTAGGCACTGTTCCAGATGCAAACACAAGCTTGGGAATATGCAAGGACTTTGCAAAACATCTGTTTACATTTAGGGGTGGAATGGGGCAAATTCTGGTCTGAAACAAATCAAAATGTAATTGATGATAGCATTCTCTTTACAGACATTGTGTGCATTCCCCTCCATATATAAGCACATCTTAACCAACTGTATTCTCATGAATACAGAGGACAAGTGGAATAAATTGATCTTTTGGACAGGTTCTGTTGGTGACAGTGTCTCCCAACCTGAGCTCTAATTTCCAGGCCTTCATTCCAGCCTATTTGCAAAGATGTCAGGAGTACCACAGCTCAAAGTAATTAGGGGCACCTTATTACTGGCATGCTGCTCTGGATGTTTGCCTAGACACAAGCAATGCCAAGGTCTAGAATCCATTGCAGACTGAAGCCTTCAGTGACAGTTACTCTAAGAATGTGGCAAAACCTTCTGAATTGGTGCCTAGGATCTCATATCCTCTTCATGTGACCTTCAGAAAGTGCCACTGCTGCTTGACTGTGAGAAATGGATCTCAGACTCCCCTGCTGAACAGGGAGATCCTGAGGAGCAATCCACAATGCGCTCCCCATCTCTCTAACCTTCACCCAACAGAAGAAGCTGATGCCTATATGTAAAGTCTCTTTAAAAACCAATGCAGTATCTTTGAGTGGAGGCTTCTAGAAGTGCTCTCCAGACCCGTCTATAATTTTCTGCCAGTTGCCCTTCGTCATTGCTAGAGTAACTCGACAGCACCTTAGCAGCTCTATGACTTCTGTCCATGGTCCTGAAATTAACACAATGAGTTCCAGATGAGTTCCAGCTGCCTGCAATACACTGTATATTCCCACTGGAGTTATTGCCCAGAACTAATAACAGAAGCCCAGATGGTAAGGCAATGGACACACACACAGACCGCATATGTCATCACTTGCTCCAGGAGCAGTTTGCTGCCTTTCTGTGCTGCACAGTCCCATTCTCAGGACATGCAACAAGGAAAAGCAGAGCTAACTGGCGGTAACACCTAAGTGACAAACACTTTACTTTGTCACTGTGCATTCGAAAGGTAGAGGGCTGTGGTCTGAGGAAAGCAGCAAAGGCCAAAGGTTCCCTATACAGGTTCTAAAGAACACTCTTCAGCAAGTCCAACAAGTTGTAATAATCTAAGATACATTCCATAGTGGTATCTTGAGCTGTTGTATCTGTACATGATTGGCATGCATAAAACCGGTTAACTAACCCAGTGTGGTGAGGTGGTCAAGAGTGGAGGACCAGGACTAGGAGATCTGGATTCTCATCCCCAGTCAGCCATGGAGCCAACTGGGTGACTTTTGAGCCAGTCTCAGACTCTCAGCCCAACCTACCTCACAGGGTTGTTGTTTTGAGGATAATATTGAGAGGAGGAAGAGAATAATGTAAGTCTCCTTGCATTCCTTGAAAAAGGAAAAAAAGACAGGATATGAATATAATAATTAAATAAATTTTAAAAACCCATACACCATTCTGAAAGAATGTTTGCTGAGCTGCAAATATCAGGACAAGTATGAAAGAACAACTTCTTATATTACCTCAGGTTTTCATGAAAATAAATCAGAAGGGGTGTCCACAATGCCTATAAAATAATGCCACCAGTGAAGAAATCTGAGTAGCAGCAAAGATTCGAGGAATAATAATGCAAATATCCACATTTGATTGGGAGTGGGGTTATAGAGCTGTGACCATGAACATTTACCCATGATAGTCCTGCTGATTTCCTTCAGTTTTACTTGCTCCATCTGGGCTCTGTCACAGTGTGTCCCCTGCTGATTTGCAAATGTTCACATATACAAAAAGTTCTGCTCAAGAGAAGTACCTGGTAGCTGAAAGCAGAATATTGTTGCACTATGATGCGTCATTATGTATTCTGCAGTACATCATGAGAAAAAGTACAGGGGTGGGCAATGTATTGGCTGGGCTCTACCAGAAGAACGGTAAAGAGGTTACGAAGGTTAAATAGACAGTGTAGTGAACTTTCTCAGCATCCAAAAGCCAGGGCAGTTCAAGGGCACTGGGGAGAACAGCTTTTCCAGTTGTATGTAGGTAAGGGCTGCTTTTGCTGTGCTTATCCCATCTCTCAGGAATTGGGTTTACAGCTTGTGTGCCTACCTGCCCCCCACTGCCAAAGTTTGATGATACAATTGCAGAGAAAAAAAGTAAAGAACAATTAACTTTACAAAAGATCCATGATTAATGAGATACAAGTGATACGTGGTTCTGATGTATGACTCACAATACATGAGTATTATTTTTGCTTGGAGTCAGTACCTGTACATTTTTTTATGAATGCTTCTACCTAAAAAAAAAAAAACAGTTTAATCAATCTCTTGTCTACCAAGGAGAACTTTTCTGTATGATTTCTAAGGCAATGTCTTTCCTGTGTGATCTCTAAGGCTCTGCTAGAGTCTTAAAATCAGCAGCACAAAGAACTGAAAGAGCCTCACTTTTAGTAAGGGTACGACCATATTTTGGGTGATAATTAAAATTAGAATGATACAGCGATGCATAAAGGAATGCATATGTAGGGAACTTTTTCTAGAGGTCCATATTTCCTCAGTGGTGATCCATTTGGAGCTCAGCACTGTCCTTAGCAGGTAGGGAGAAAATCCTACCCACCAGGGTGAAACGAGGGGCTGAAACTTACTTCCACATAAACATGCATAGGACTATACTTCACAACTACGATTCTATGTGTACTTATCTGAGAGTAAGCACTATTCAACAGAGAGGTATTTATTCTGCATAAGAAACAGAGGCCTCTGTCCCTGGAAAAATGGCTGCTCCCAACACTGGCTGAGTGCTTTGCATACCAACTCTGACGGGGATGCCTCATGAAGCTGGAGACTGGCCAGGTCAGGAGGAGTGGCTGATCCTGCTGGCACAGTCCCTTTCTCTGGGCAGGAAGTGACATCAGGGGGTGTGGCCATGTTCAGTGATGTCATCCAGTTTGCAGAGGGGCAGTTTAGTTTCCCATCACAACATACTTCTGCACCTCTGATATATACTATAGAAAGTTATCATCTGGTAACTGATTGTCTGCATGGGTCTGATGTTCTTTCTGCAATTGCAGAAGGATCTGAAAGTGTTCGAATCAACAAGAACAAAACAGAGTTGCAAAGATCTACCATTTTTAGTTCAAATAATGCAATGCAACAGAGACTGGAGTAGCACGTTCCTCTGCAAATAGCTTTGATGGTCATACTGAAATTGGTTCTGATACTGTTTTCTCTTTTCCAGAATAGTTTGCCAGCTACTTCACTGCTAGATAGTCAAGATAGCAAGAATTTGGCCATTCTACACACATAAGCACAAAACAACAAAAGGTCCAATTCACATGATCAATACTATCCTTGATGTTGCTGTACATTGCAATTTGCCACACATGCATGAGCTGCCATGACAATCCTCAACAAACAGTGCGGTCAACAGAAAATATTATAGTCCTCATAACACATGGAAAATTGATTGGACCATTGAATAAGATGCACTTATTTGTACATCTTGAAAATGACCTGTTTCATTTTTAGACTATGTGAATTTGCTCTCATACTTTTCACAAGCCCCCCTTTCCCATGAATGTGAATACAGTCTTTAGTTCAAAGTACCATTTCTGATTTTCTGCTCAACTATTTGCTTTCTGGACATGAGCCATGAGAATCTAGGTAACTATCTGCAGAATACACAAACTTACTCAGGGCTGACATCTAGTTCTTTCTCTAACCATTAAAGCTCCTGACTTCCTAAAGATATTAATTGCAAAAGTGTGAAAATAAATCAGTAGACTCACGATCCCGAGGGACTTCAATGGCTCTGATGAGGTGATGAAGGTATAAAGCAAGCACCACTCCCATATAGGTTAGGAGATACCTTTGCATTACCATTTTGAATATTTGGCTAAGATCCTACGTCCCCAGTTTCTTCCAACAAGGCAAAGTGGTGTCTTACTACCGTAGTGCAGCAGGATACTTTGATTTACTGCAAAAAGTAATAAAAAAGAAAGAAAAGAGGAATTAATGACCTGCAATTAAGACTTACATATGCCTCATTCTTTTTTAACCATTTAGTGTTTTGTAACTTAGTAACTGTGAGAGACTCATCATATAGATTGGAGCTTGTGGACTTCTTCATAGCATTTAAAGAATGTTTTACTAGCTCTCATCAATTGGGATAATCTCCTCCATATTACCCCATTGTTTCTAAGTTACACGTTAATTTGTATGAGCCAGAAAAGTTCAGATTTTGAGATCCAGCATTTTAGATGATGACTGTGTTCTATCATGTAATTCTTCAGTTCTGTCATTTCAAGGTAAGTTTTTAGCGCAACTTTCAAGGCAATGTTTAGCACTTACTCATAGGTCACGCTTCAGTGGTTGTTCTTCCTCCACTGCCTCTCCAACACAAAAAAATCTCTTCCAGGGATCTAATGTTTTTGCAGTATTTTATAACTTGGATACAAAACAGGCCAATGCAACCAACACTTCCATGTACTGTGTAAACAAAACTATTGATTTAAACATGCATGCATCATTCACCACTGACATAAGGCAAGTTTATTGGGCATTTGTACCCCAATCCCGGAACAAGATGGTAGTCTGGGAGCTCTCATGGATCCATCATTGTTGCTTCAGTGGCTCAGAATGCCTTTAATCAGCTTAGGCTGAGATACCAAATACGAACCTACCTGGACAGAGATAGCCTTGCAATGGGAAGATGGGCATTGCAGTCCAACACATTATCTAGAGGTAAGAGGATAGTGAAGGCTACTACCAGTAGTTATTAGTTCAATTGCTTTATTCCACATTTCCTCTTTGTTGTTGTTGTTTTGTTTTTCCAGATGACACTCAACGTTCTATAGCTACTGAGAATGTTCAGTCCTCATCACTGAACTCTTTGGGATGTAGCTTTCCCTCTTATACATGCACACACACACGTGCACACACACCAATCACACTTCTGCAAACTTCGGGATCTTTTTAGCTTTCTCCCTCTTATTTACCAGTTTCCCCCATTTTGGATCCATTTCTGTCAGCAACACCACCTGAGTGCAGAAAAGCAAGTGCCCCCAAACCGATCTGCACTGTACCCTTCAGCCAGGCAGGTCGCAATAACTAAAAATAACAATTACTCTGCTACTATCTACATTATTATACAAGAGCATATGCTACCAGATTAATTAGTTTTTTGAGGAAGTGATGCCCAGATGCAATATCTCTTGGTAAGAGAAGCTTTTCTCTTTTTAACTCAGTTTCCCAGATGGATTGGGATGGGAAAGGTCAAACAAATTGCCTTGGGGGATGTGAAGGAAGGGGAAGAAGAGGGGGGGTTGGAGGAACCCCCCCCCCCACATTCTCTCTGCTTCAACATGAGGCACTTGTGTTGATTATTTCCCCCAGAATTTACTTAGTCATTGTGCATTTTTTAGATTTCAGAAGCAACTTCTTTAGCAATATACTGTATCCACAGGCATCTGCACACACAGCACTGATGGTTTTTTGAATGAAATAAAAAATATGTCTGATATCAGTAGAAGATCCTCCTGTGCAAACAGTGTGCACCAAACCACACCGTGTCAAGCACAGATCATGCCTGTTCTACTGAAGCCACCCACCTGTCCTCTGCGTCACTCCTAATACTAATGCCACTCTGCTGTTAGCATATGGACCATCCCAGGTGCACTGTTAAGAATGTGCACAAACTGGCGATGTAAAATAATTACTATTGCCTGGTTCCATAAGCATCCCTGCCAATCCTGTGGACAGAACTATCTAGGAACTAAAATAACTTGAAGTGCCTTCCATGTGTACTGCACAGATGAGCTACAATTGGACTTCATATCCACCCAGTCCCTTGTACTGGGAACACAGGAAGCTGCCTGAAAAAAACCCAGCTCAGATAATGGAGATTCTACACTGGCAATAGCTTTTCAAGATTTCTTTTAAGATGTTGGAAATTGAAACTAGGATCTTTTTCAGGGCAAATTATGTGCTCTACCACTGCTTGATGACCATTGCCCATTAGTGTTGTGGCATAAATTATCTCAGAGAGTAATTAATTTTACTAAGCATGAATTCCTGGCTTTCTTCTTTTGACCTTTATATCTTCGAGATTTCAAAGACTTTTTGTAATCATCCCCCCGCCCCGCAACTAGGCTAAATTTAGAGCATCGTCTCTACTCGTTATATGAGAATGGGTCAAGCAGTGTTACAGTCAAGGCCCAGAATTTGGTGAATGAGAGCATTCATATCTGGATGTGAAAAACCTTCATTAATTCTGTGACTGCCACAAATTAGGATTATAGTCTTCATCTTTCAGACATCCACAGGGGACTGGCCATCACATTTAGGTGGTATTTGAGAGCCAGTGTAGTATAGTGGTTGGAATGTTGGACTGGAGTTGAGGAGAAGCTGCCTTGGGTTCCTTGAAGGAAAAATGGTGGGATATAAATATAATAAATAAATAGATGATTGTCAACATTTATCAGCACAATTCTGTATTTTCAAACATCTGCAGAATTTGTCCAGCTTTGTTATCATTTACATAGGGACATTCATGAATATATACAGATCTCTGTGTCTGCTTTATGAGGAAATACCATCAAGGTTAGATTTAATTCACATTCTCTACTATCGATCTTTCCAGCAGCTGATATATGCCATGGTGTTATTAACCTAGAGGTTAGTTCCTCATACGTGAGGGATTCTAGCCTTCAAATTCTCCCTCCTCTTATTCCAGTGCAAGGCAGTCCTCTCCAGTGCATGAGTTGCATCTGCTAACTGAGATGGTTGCAAATGAGGCATCCCAATGACAAGTTCATGCTGAGAAACATTGCAACATCTCCTGATGGGTTGTTAAACTGGTACCATGGATCAAAAGGAAATACAAACGATAAATCATCCAGCTTCAAAACCCTGCGAACCTGCTTAACAGAGTCACTACCATAGCTCACAAGGACTTGTCTTATCCCTGACTTAATGTTTGTCTGTAATGGAGCTATAAATATCTGGCATCCAGATAGACATGCAGGCAGATCTCTTTGCTCATATCAAAAATGAAAATAAAGCACCCCCAGTCTCATGTCTCTATTCTTAGTGTCCTTGTCAGTGTTTACTGTCGTCGTACATTAAGAATGGTGCAACAGCAACCCATTTGGCAAGGCAAGGCAACACAACACCGGTTTCACGAAATATAAATAAGGAACTGTAATGCTGACATCAATTGAGCATCATCAAGGCAAAACACAACAGCCAATCTACAAGGGAAAACAAATGTGCAGCGGTATTGCCCACAAGGCCCCCCCGCCCCATGTTCAGAGCAACCTCCCTCCTGCAGTCCACCTGGCACCAAATTTGCTATCTTTTTGGAGACAGGTTAAGAAACCTTTAAAGACTTCCCAGGTCATTCAGGGGCCTAACATGATCATCCAAGTGCCTTTCTTTTATTCTTGGTCAGATCTTTTAATTGTCTTTTAACAGTCTCTTATGCTATTGCAAATTATTGCTAATGCTTTTAATCTATCTTGCTAATGCTTTTAATCAATTGTATTTTGTTATTTTTATACATTATTGTAAAGTGCCCAGTGAGCTTCAATGTGAGCTTTCATTGGTATAGAAGTGAAATTAATGATGATGATGAGATGATGTAGCAGTTTATCTAAACATCCCCCACCATTCTGAGTAGTTCAGACTATGCTGGAGGAAGGCTGGGAGGGCAATGTATATGCACAGCCCAAGAAGATGTTAATTATATATATTTTAGGAGACTGACACTTGATATGCTTCTCTGTATATTTGAGCTTGCTTTCTACAATAGTGGAAACTATATTCTAAAGCAGTGAGAGTGGCAGATGTCGCATCTCTTCCCCTCCGTAAAATGACTTGAGTTAATTCACCACTATTCCTCTCCCCTTTCCACAATGCATAATGAAGGGACCTAGAAAAGTCCTCATCAGACTTGGATAGCAGTACCTGCATTTCCAGTTTCTTCCACATGCAAAAGATTTGGAACAGGAAGGAGGTAACATAGTTTTCTTGGGCTGATCAGTACTGTGCATGCAGGACGAAGGCAAGATTTTTTGAGTGGCCCTATTACTCTACCCCTTATCGCTCATATTCCTCTGAAGTGTATTTTATATGGGCATCCTTTCTGAGGTTTGCTGAAATAAGATGTGTTTCATCTGCATATTTTATAATATAATGAATAGGCATAACACCGCATTTTAATTAAAGGACAATATCTAGCCTATTAGGAATAGACGGGATGGGAAACATCATATTCCTGAGGGAATAGTTGAGCAGCTGTTTGCTGCTTAAAATATAATTGGGGAGTAATATGCACTCGGGCATCAAAACGTAACAGTACATAGGCAGGAACTGAATATACAAGCACAAGTGAATCAGTACCTCTCATTCTCGTCAAACCAAACTGAACCAAAACTGCCAAATCAACCAGACAAAATAAGTTAAACACAACCAGGTCTGTCATTCTGCTTGTAAACCACTGAACATGATAAGAACGTGATGGCCTTCCTGGACTTTTTGAGCCTTCAAAATAGACTCATTTGGCAGGTCAGCAGTATTCCATATTACCTACAGATTTCAGATCATATTTTCATGGATCCAACAAGATCCAGCTTTAAGAGAGATGATTTCAGTTTTCTGCAGAAGTTCACATTCTCACAAGGCATATATGACAGAATAATGACTTAAAACCAACTTGGCTGACCAAGTGATCATCATAACTATCTAGTAATATATCTTGGGGCCAGACTAGATATTATATGCCTAACAGTCTCCCCTGTGTATTTTTTACATCAAAAGCAGCCATTGGAAATTGTAAACTTGGCCATGGGAATAATGGGTATAGAAGGACTGCATGACCTTCTCCCCTTTTAGGTTGTGGAAAAGTAACAGGAAACCACCAAAAAACAAAGTGTCAGGGGAAAGTGAGAGGAAGAGGGGAAGAAAGTGTGGCTAAGG